GCCTGTAGGTCTGGATTTACCTTTAGTGCAAGAGTCTTATTTTGTGAATGGAAAGTCTTGAAATCCTGGAGGGACTGTTGGCAGTTGTGAGCACCTGAGAGCCATTTTAAGCCTTTAAAGAGGGAGAATGAGAGCGTGATGGAAATGGAGCTTTGGGAAGGGCATACATAGACTGGTGGTTTGCAAAATAGATTGATGAGGACGAGTTCTCAGAGGCAAGGATGAGATGCTAGGAGTGCACCGAAGTTTTTAAGATGAGAGGAATGGTGAGTTTGCTCCATTGGCAGCACCAGAAATAGAGAAGCATGCTGAGAGAGAAAGTGATGAGGCTTGGTGACAGATGGGATATAAGCGATAATGGGAGGATGGAGTTTGAAATGACAACTGTTTTGGGGACCTTGGGAAAATGGCAGACCCACTGATGGGAATGCTCTTGCTATCTAATGAGTTCTATTTCAAACGTGAGGTGAATGAGGTGTCTGGGAGGCAGCCAGGTGAAGATGTGGCTTGCAACATGGACTTGGGTGTGGCCAAAGGTCTGGGAGGAAGATAAGGAGCCAAAAGCATGAGGGAAGAGGAAGGAAGGAAGCCTGGAAACCTGAGTTCAGACCTTTGGGGAGCAGCAACATTAGACAGGAGGCAGATGAAGCAAGGAAGCAACAGAGAGGTGACTAAAGATTGAATACTAAAGAGAAACCAAAGGAAGAGAAAGGTTTAAGAAGGTAAGCATCCATTATGTCAGATGTTCTAGAATTTGTGAAGGATAAGAACAGAACTTCCAAATCTGGCAAAGATGGTAAAAAGTGAAAACCTCTAATACTTGCTGATGTGTGCAATGTGATCTATCATCTATAATAATAAGAGCGTAGTATGCTAATTAGACCGGACAGCCGAACACCTCTGGATGTCATTCTGGATGTCCTTCCAGACGAAGTCGAGGTGGCAGGAGCCTAGGCAGAGGTGTTTAGGAGCCATCAGGCAGGCAGGCAAGCAGTTAGGGGCAATCAGGTAGGCAGGCAGGCAGGCAGGCAAACGGTTAGAAGCCAGTAGTCCCAGATTGTGAGGGGGATGTCCAACTGCCAGGTTAGGCCTGATCTCACAGGGGCCTAAACTGGCAGTTGGACATCCCCCGAGGGGTCCTGGATTGCAAGAGGGTGCAGGCCAGGCTGAGGGACCCCCCCCCACACACACACCCGTGCACAAATTTCGTATACTTGGTGACTTTGGGTGTTCAATGCTGGAGAGTCTTTTTCTATTAACAAAGGTATGTGCTTTGGAATAATAAAGCAGGCAATCATCAGGTAGAATCATAAAATTTCTCCCATTCTATCCTTATTTGAAAGGAAAACAAAGGAGAGGAAAGGAGAAAGAATGGCTAACAGTGACCCGAGGGTTATTGTTATTTTTAATTTGAACTGAAATGTAGGTGGCCAGTGTTCAGGGGACTTGTTATCACTGGATTTTATCCGTTGCACTCACACAAGTAAAAAGAAGTAGTGGCCCAGCCAGCATAGCTCGGTGGTTGAGCATCAACCTATGAACCAGGTGGAAATCATAGTTCAATTCCCGGCCAGGGCACAGGCCCAGGTTGTGGGCTTGATCCCTAGTGTGGGGTGTACAGCAGGCAGCCAATCAATAATTCTCTCTCAACATTGATGTTTCTATCTCTTTCTCTCCTTCTCCCTTCCTCCCTGAAATTAATAATAAAAAAATAAAATAAGAAAAGAGTAAAATGAAGTAGCTGGATGAAACTATAACCTGGGATATAACCTGACGAGGGATTTTTTTTTCTTCCAAGTTGTGAATATGTTTTTTGTGTCAAATTCTTAAAAACTCCTAAGGGTCTCTAAGTTCTTACGTAATGAAGTATGGTAGCGATCATCTCAGGTAGAAACTATAGTTTAACTTTAACTTTAACCCTGCTGTTTGGTTTCTGTACTTGTTTGCTTGCTAAAATAATAGAACAGATATTTTAATTTTCTGAATTATATAAATTATCCCATTTGATTAAATACCCTATTGATTGTAATGTGAATATTGGTTGTGGTCATCCTGGTCTTAGAAAGCACATTTTCCTTTACCTGGGAAGGACAACACAATTATCCCAAAGTCAGAGGGCTCCAGTTAACGTGTCCCTGTTGACTCAGTGTTCCGGAGACCCCAAACTGTAATTTAGATAACATGCTTAATTCTGCTTCTGTAAACTGCTTTTTTGCGAACCATGTTCCTCATTCCAGACCCTGGGATGTAATCAATACCTTTGTGATCTTTGCCTTTTAAATCTGATGTTGGGGCTGGGGAGGGCACTATGAGATCTGGGAGAGCGAAATGCCCCCTCATAGTCCCGGATTGCAATAAATGTGACTCTTTAATTCGACTTCTTGAGGCGTCCTTCTGTGATTCGCGGGGTACATTACAACAGTAACTGTCGGGTAATAACTTGGATTCTGCTCACCACCTAGTTATTTCTACCTTTGGACCTCATTTAATCATCAATTCATCCTAAACCAGACTTGCCAAGTTGCTTAGCCCAGTGCTTCAGGGGGGCATAGCGGCTGGCTGTGCTCTGGTTTCCTATGAATGCTTCACTGTTGCTGTGGTTCTACTTGATGTCAGAGCTCATAGAAATAGGTTGGTATCAAGGCCTATGCTTCCTTATGACAATCATTTCAGGATGATTTATAGAAAGCGAAGAAACCTCCTATTCAGTGACTGTTTGCTAAGTACGATCTTAAAGTAACTTTGTTGGTAGTCTTTCTCTGTGAAATCCTATCCTCTGTCAGTGACTATCCTTCATCAGTCTTGTCTTATAACAAGCTTTTATAAATAGATACAAAGATTGTCATTTTAAAAATAACTGTTGAGCTCGAAAATATGTAAATTGTAGGATTTATATATAGCCTTCGAATAGGGTTTACATATCATTACCTCTCATTACATTAATTTTAAGGTG